ACGGATCCAAATCCACCAATCACGAATCACTAGCCATGACCTTTTAAACTCGTGCAAGTAAACAAGTGTTTCCTAACAGGTCCGCTACGATGATTGACGGAACAGAAAAATCCAAAATTTACAAAACGCACAGTGCGATACAACGAATTTCGTAATTGTCTCGTGAGGGCAATAGCTGCACACTGATGACAAGTAATCACTTGGAGAGACTTGACTGTATTATCCCTTGAAAAGTTTAAAATTACACTTCACTTGAATTGTTTTAAGAATTTGGAGACACTACTTCTAACAATAAATCGAAAGAGAAGTAGACTTGTATGTTATTTACAGATTCGTAAACATTTAACAGCTTACCGTACGGATCTTGTTGATACACTTTCACTGTATTGAAAATCTCACAATTCTATAATTCTGAAACGAAGCAACAGGATCGCTTTTTAGCAAAAGGAAATCCTCTCAGGTAACATCCTTGAGAACATGTGACGTCGCACCCCATGGAATATTTACCCCTTTAATTTTATCAAGTTGTCAAATATGTGAAAAAAAATTGCTACAAAATCGTCAAAAAATCGATTTGAAGTCGTCCTCATTTACGCTGTTTACTTTGTAAAGGAATGACATGACATGTCTTGCTGCCTGTTGACAAGAATATAGTTTTCTCATGATTGTACAAGTAACGCTCATGTTATTACTCATACATGCATAATAAAATCCGTTCAAATGCATCCATGCGCGGGCGAATAACATTACCTCCTTACTTTGCGGCTGACAAAAAAGCGAGGACAATAAATATTAATAAGAGTGAATACATACCTCAATTTTATAACATCCCTAAAGTACGCGGAAAGAAGGAACATAAGAGAATAAATATTCTATTCTGCGCTGCATGAGCAAATCTGGATCTTAAACCAATCAAAACCTTGTTGCTGAGGTCAAGTTGAATACCTTGAACCACTGAACCAATCCAAACCTTGTTGCTGAGCAAGTTGAAACTTTTCATTTTGCACTCTAAACCAATGAAAACCTTGTTGCTGAGCTGGACTCGTATCATATGGAGGTTGACATTATCGGTGACCTAGATCGTAATGTTGGTGCAACATCACCAGACTGCAGCACAAAAACTACTAGATATCTGAGACAGTTACCAGTATAGCCAATTAATTGGTCAGCGAACACGTATAACACAGCCCACATCATCTATTGTTGATTTGGTTTTGGACTCTAGAGTCGCCAATATCGAAATCATTGACCACTGTCTGGTGTATGCAATAAGGAAGAATTGTATCCCCAAATCAAATCCAAAGACTATACATGATGCTAGTATCTTGATATTAACCCAAGTACAAATTGATGCATGAACCATTTATTTTGGCACCTAATAAAAGTGGTCACTACTAATATTAATTCAGAAGATTCTCGTGCTGTGCATTATTACATATTGTATTAAACGTTCGACTATTTCATACATTTAGTACCTTTAATTCATGCAAATGGATGGTTCTTTAAACGTTTATCTTAATAAAATGTCTGAAAACTGATTACGATTACAATATCAAATAGAAGCCTGT